GGTGTAGGTTGGGCGGGGGGAAAGGAAGGAGGTTTTCGGTGCAAATTGGCGCATCGGGTAGTGCTGACATCGCCGTCGGGTCAGCAGATGAGCCAGAGCCCGAGCCGCTAGCACTGCACAATTCAAGGGCAGATATGGGCACAAAACACAAAGACGGCGCGGCCGCGAGCAGCGTCTGCGCACCTGCGCCTGTATGCCCTGAACAGCGTCCACCAGCAGCAGCGCGCCTTGGCAGGCGGCCAAACTCCGAGACACCTGGCCCGCGCGTGCGTGCCAGATGTTGTCAATGTGCCTTGTCAATGTGCTTGACCTCGGGCCCCGCTTGCTGTGCAATGCAGGTCAACGGCGCCAGCTGCACCAGCCGCATGGTCTCAAATTCTGATCAATCAGCGGGCCCCAGCCACATATGGAAGCGCCACTGATACTCAATGGCCCCGCCATTACGTTATTTAGCCCATTGGGATCCCGCCCACGTCACCCCTCAACCTCGTAACTGAAGTCTACATGGCCGGGTGTGTCGATGAGGTTGAGCAGGTAATTATGGCCGTCACCCGGGTGCCTGCAAGGGGGCAGGGTTTGGGACAGGTGGCACGAAGGCGGCCTCAGCAAGGGGTTGCAGAATTTTTGGCAGTTGGACGAGGGGGTGTGAAAAGGAAAGGAACGAGGGAAGGAGGGTGCCGGGCAGGGCGGTGGCAGCATTAAAGCCGTGTAGTGCTTTTCTTCTGCGGTGCTGGAGGTGATGTGCACATGCATTTCAGGGGAGGGGCCGTGTGGTGGCGTGGCTGCGCGCGGAGGAGAGAAGAGCAGAGGCGCTGGTGCGCGCGGCGCTGCAAGCAGGTGCGGGGGCCCTCATGGCGGCGGCACCTGTAGACGAGGGAGGCTGACTGAGCCTTGACAGTGATGCCCCTCTCGCGCTCCACCTACAGGGGCAATGGACGGGGCAACATGTCAGCATGATGACAGTATGACATCAGCATGATGTCAGCACACCGGTCCGCCCGCCATGCAGCTGCCGCCCCACCACCAACACCCCCATGCTGCGATGGCTCAGAGCGACTGCCTATAACACATCTGAGGAATGTAGTGAATAAGATCAGACTGGGTCAGATCTCAGCGCAGATTTCACCTGCAGCCTATCGAGGTACTGGGCCCTGGATCCCGGTGCGACCGCACCGGTCGCCTGCATTAGCCGGTCCGACAGCGTGCTCTTCCCATGGTCAATGTGGGCCTGTTTTTCAGGTGGGAGATGCGATGTCCATGTGAGGGGTAAACGCATGCACAGGTATATCTCTTTTTGAGTGGTGAGGCGTGCTTTGCGCGAAGCCCGGCGGCGGGAATTTCGCAAGTTAACGCCAGCGAGAGAAGTTTTCTCTCGCTGGCTTGTCCGTCTCCTGTGTGGCCGGCTGGCTCGCGCGGTTGCGGGCCGCCTGCAGCCGTGCCGACGCCGCTGCTGCTGCATGCTTGGCGTGTTTCAGAGGCAGCCGTGTTGCTGTCGGCCCTCACCACGATGCTGAAGTTTCGTATCCGCTCTGGCGGGAAGTCCTCGACTTTGAAGCCGCCGCGAACAAAGCCGAGGGGCTCTGCGCTGGTGCTGCCGCTGCCACTGCCGCCGTCGCTGGCAGCTCTTTTAACATCGCTGTGGCCGCTGTATGCCGCTGCTTGCTGCCAACCGCCTCCGACTCCGCTGCTGGGGCCGCTGCTGATGCGCCATGCCTGCAGCAGCGCTGGGGCGGCAGTGCGCCAGGCACCGCTCGGCAAAGCTGAGACGGACAGCACCTCTGCTGCTGCGCAGGGCACCTCGGGAACCAAGGGACCACCCAGCTGACATGCGCTGTGCCAGCGGACCAGCGCCCGAAGGCTGCGCATAATTCAGAAGTCGCCGCGCCAGATCAAGCATCTACACTGCATGTTGTGTCCATATTTAGTTCATGAACAGGCTTTCAAGTCTACGTTAAACCTTAACGTACATGAAATGCATGGTCACTAGATCAAGCAAACCGCACTGGTGACACCGCGTGGCCAAACGATGGCGGCAGTCAATGTAGCCAAGGGTAAGCGCGATTTCATCCTACTGTAGTGAGCTGGAGTCTCTTGAGCTTGCAGCAGCCGTGTCGATGGCGGCGTTGCCGCCGCTGCTGCATCGGGTGCGTGACGCCGCGCCGGCACTTGTGTTTGCGCCCGCAGGCCTTTACATGGGCGGCCAGGAGGCTCTGCAGCAGGTGGAGGAGCTGCGCATCACACACATATTGGTGCGCTGCGGCCGGGTTCCTTTAGCAGCAGCCGGCGCGCAAATGCATGCCACAGGAACAGAAGGCAACATTACCGCTCTGCTCAAAGTGGAGCACTGCAGTACTATGTTCACAGCCTGCTATCCGCACGTCCGCCCCACAATTGCGTGAATGCACGGCGCCGCGCCGCCCGTTTGATTTCTACTGCAGAGTGTCGTGAACTACGAGGTGGATCCGCCGCCAGGGCCAGATCACATGCGCATAGATCTGGAGGACGACGAGGGCGCCAACCTGCTCGAGAAGCTTCCCGCGGCCCTGGCCTGGCTGGAGGCGGCTTTGCGGCAGAAGGGGAAGCGCGTGCTGGTGCACTGCCACGCGGGTGGGCGCGGGCGGGGCGGGCCGGTGCAGGCCGGTCGGCGGCGGCAGAGAGGCGACGGCAGCAGCAGCAGCGTGCTGCAATGAGAATTACTTTTGGCCATCGTTTGGCCACAGGGACCTCATCGTCGACGTCATATCTCCTGTGCATTCATTCACTGGACCCCGTGCACTCACATGTTGTTTGCGCGCGGTTCTTCAATTTTCACACAGTACATACTCCTGGACGTACGCGAGTGCACACACACACACACACACGCACACACACGCACACACACACACACATGCACGCACGCACACACACACACACACACACACACACACACACACACAC